CGCAGATGGTGCTTGACAGGCTGACAAAGAAAGATTTCCAGGGATGCTTCCAGGCTTGGCAGCGGCGCTGGGATCGTTGTGTTCACTCCCAGGGGAACTACTTCGAGGGTGATGGATGAATTTAATACCTGAGATAAGTGTACGGGTTTTTATACGCGCAGTCTTGAAACTTTCCGATCGCACCTCGTATCTTCCTTCTCCAACTTTCGAGAGAAATTTTTCTTCGGTATATGACCTTCTAAGACTTCTTGAAAGAGAGAGGAATAAAGAATGGTATGCATTTCTATGCTCATTTAGGGAAGAATTATGACGCTTTTTACAACAATATAAAAGAGAGAGAGATATGTAGAGATTCAGGTGTAGTGAATTAATTTTAGCTAACATATGGTAAATTAGGAATGTAGAGATTTGAAGTTACATAGAATTAAGTGTAGCAGACATTTGAATTTGCTATAATGTGGGAATGAGTTGATGTCATTTCCTGGCATTGAGTAAAGTAGCAAGGCTAACTCACCTTTCTCTAAGGGGATGAGAAGGAGAAATTATCCGGAAATGCAGACGTAGCCATTGGGCAGTCAGCAGAAATATGGGAAACGCGAGCGAAAATGTTGACCAGGGAAGTGGGAGATAGAACGCGGTCAGAACCGCCGAACTTTGAAGATAGAAAGAGGTCACTGAAGCCATGGGCAAGGGGACTCTGATCGGGCTACTGATAACAGGTAAGCGCTGAGGCGATGACTCCGAGTATAGTGCGGGTAGATTATTAAATCTTCAAAATTTACGTAACAAAACTGTTGTTGAGATAAAGTGAACTAGCCTGTATTAGGAAGGTAATGTTTACTTCAAATGTAAAATTTATGTAATACTTAGTGTTAGAAATAAATGGTGTATAGTCTTAGGGAACCAGCTGTAGCTTCGTGGAAGAAATATCATATCAGCTGAGTATGTTTAAGCTGACGACAGCGTCCTTGTGAACTTGCCTTGCTACATTCCAAGCTACGCTACCAACATTAGTAGGACTAATCCTATCCATAATATCATCATTAAACAGGTAAAAAGAAACTTATTGCACTGACCTTGATGTTGGGACAGTCCCGACATAGCAGTAGCAACTTTCGAGTGCCAACCACGTTGATGGCTGTGGCGATTTGCAGCTTCTCGTCGAATCGAACAGTGGCTGCCATGTGGAACACAATGTGCACATTATCCACAATGCGTTGTCTGTCGTCAGGACTCAAACCCAGACCCGCCTTTGAGGAGTCGCCTTCCACAGGAAGGATCTTCTCTCTGAAGCCAGGCTGTACTTCTCTCAACTTTTCAAACAGCTGCAATAATTCGGAGTTTTTTTCTGTGTTTCTTGGTTACAAAAGTGAAAAAATGTTTTTGAAAGAGATTGGAAATAATGGAATAATAGTCAGATGTAGGTTCAATCTGAGCGTCCAACAATTTGCTATCGTGCCTATGCGTTACGGTTCAATCGAATAGTGGAACTCAAGTTCAACGTCACTCCCGCCACTGCAATGAGGAGTTACACCTTCATTCGGTTTGTTTCCTGAACCAAACGTCACGTACGGGACGACCGATGCAACAAAACGCGTTCACGTGCAAAGTGGCCATACAAGGAAAGAAGCTGAAATATACCGACGTATATTTCGACATGTTACAATTCCACGTTCAATGACTATTCATACTATGGTAAAAACTAAGGCTGCGGTGACACTGCACGCGTATTCGACCCTAATTTAAGGTCGGGCGAACTATCAAAAACGTTACAAGTTCCGTAACAGGTCAAGGTGCAGGCGAATTTATCGCGGTATCCCTTGACACCCGTCGCCTTTAACACAGGTTTGTTTTCAGTCGTGCGAAAAGATGGATACTGAAAAATTAGTTAATCTTGTGTTCAATGAAAATGCTTCGCAGTACCAGAAAATGAAAACTTATCACAACAGAGAGGTTTGAAGGAAGGTTTGGGAAATGTTAGTGAGGTTATGAATGTCTCAAGTGACCAAATAATGCAATTTTTGTATTGCAAACTGTTCCTTGCTACATCAGTATCAACTCTACATATATGCATTTTAAAGCAGTTTGATTTTTGCACAGATAATTAGGGAACGCTGAACTGTTGGATAATGCTCTTTTACTACTGTTAAAATAGTTTTTAAACTCATCTCTTCTGTCTCAAGCCTGTTGTGCTCACCTAGCATTTGATTGCGATCTGTTTATATTTATTATGTTGTCGACGAAGTAATAGTTAGAACATAAATATCTCGTTTCTTAATAATAATGTTATGTAACAAGCATATACAGTCATACCTCGTTTTATTGTGCTTCGCAGTTATTGCAGGGTTTTTTTTTTTACAATTTTTTCCAAAAGCATGTGCTCGCTTCGTCTCTGTGTCATATTTTGGTAATTCTCGCAATGTTCAAACATTGTTTTATCTCCTGGTTTATTCACCGTTCAGCCACCTGACGCGGCTTGTAACTCGAGAGTCTTTTATAAGCTTTATCTGCTTCAGTTTATATACACTTATTGAGTAATGTTCATATTTAATCTTACCTCAGTGCCAAATGTTCTGATGGTGAAATACACTCTCGGAAAGAACTCTGCCTTTTTATTGCTTCCTCGTCGGTGTTTATTCAACATCCTACAATAGTCATGAAAGTTAGTTGCTTGCAAGCACAATTTATCAAAAAAAAAACGTGAAATTCACTTTCATGTCTGTCTTGGTATGTATTATTGATCCAACATCGTCGTGCGTTTCTTCCACTCACTTCAGCAAACCGTAATTTAACAAATACATTTCTTTCTTAAGCTCCATTTTCATACTGACGGCTGGAACCACAAACATTCCCGCGTTGTAGCTTGCAGTTTTACCACAAGTCCAAGCGGTTTACGAGATCAAATATTTTGAAATTTTAGCTCGAATCGCTGTGCTGGCCGTACAGTACAGGGAAGGCGCATGAGCAGGAAAGCTACGTTCGCCTCTTGCGTTCTCCTACGCAGGACAAAACAAGTGATTCCCTCGCTTACGTACGGCATTGCCCGCACGCGTGGAGTGTGACCGCAGCGTAGAAGAGACAAGACTTGTTGCTGGATAAAAGCGCAGAATTGAACTCGAAAGAGAAAACGTTTGAAATCGGAGTTTGCAACTTACACACGTGCTCAAAAATTCCAAACGTGTTACGTTAGTAGGAGGAGTGCAAAGACGAATTTTCACGAAGTCAAATTTCCTTGATTCTATGCATAGAATACACCCCTAAAGTGAAGCCACGTGCTTCGGAAGCACCTTGTGTGTTGGCTGGCATTAAAAGTGTTGAACAATCCGTTCGCACTCACCGGGTCCTCGAAAATTTCCTGCATCCTGAGTCCTACGTCCTTGCCTTTCTTGCTTCGGACCAGCAGGTAGATGCTGCTGAGATGTGGGCAGGACCGGAGCAGTTTCTCCACCAGAACTTTGCCCATGAACCCCGTTCCACCCGTGATCAGAACATTGGCTCCCCTGTAGAACTCCTGGACCGTCGTGCCTCTGTCCTCTGACAAGTGCATCTCTAAAGTAATGAAAGCATTTAAGACACGAATTCAGAACTTCGTAGCATTTCTTAAGCAATATTTCTTCGGAGACGCACAATCCTCGGGAATTCCATACACGCAAAGAGCTAAAAGTTTTTCACGATTATATGCCTCGATTTTCACTACTACTCTTGTTCGAAAACATGGACTAGCTTTTCGATTGGGCCCAACAGAATAGGTTTTACCTGAACACGGAGAAAGATTCCATTCACCAAAACATCGTATTTTATTAAATCTGGGGCGATGGATAATGTCCAGCTTGCAGTTTGCTTCAACACCGCACCATCGTCACAAACCTTCGGAATTAAGTACCAAAATAGTAGCGACAACATTTAACTAATGCCTTTTCTCCGATCCTTCTGCCTTTTCATAGCCTGCTGAATAATATTCTGTTTCAGATCTTATTTTCATCTCGAAGCATATAATTCGACTGTAAGTTATTTAAAGTCCTAAATAATTAGTAAGTCGGAACATACCGTAACACCAGGAAAGCGACATAACTTGTCCAAGTGAACGGATCCGAGCTCTTCAGTTGACTGACGTCTTCCATTACCTATCCTCTTTATTTACGCACAATACATACAATACGATAATGATAATGGGTTATGTCAGAATGAGTAACAACGCATGTTGCATAATAGCATTCATCTGTTTAACTCAAAACTGTAACCAGCATTGGCGATTAGTTATGTAAACACGACTAGATTTAAGAAGAATGGTAAAATACACCAATTCATCCATCCACTCTCCAGCTATTATGTCCATCCTAACATCCTGGGGTCTCGGGTTCGATTCCCTGCGGTGCCCGAATTTATAACTTGTGTTTTGCAAGGCCGTGGTCTAGGCAACACGGAGTTTTCCTCCGGGGGCTTCCCCGGTTTCTCCGTGGCATCCCAACAATTACTCCATTCACACACAGAAGAAGGCAATGGCAAACCACTTCTGGATCATCTGCCAAGAACGTATATGAACAGGTCCCAGTCCGAGAAAAGGATGGAAGGATCCTGTTCATATGGACCTGTCGGCAGACAGAACACTAAATAAATAAATAAATAACATACATCCATTGGTAGTGACTACTCATCGTGTGGAAAGTCAACGAAGTACCTGTGTTCCAGTCCAAGAAGTGGATTTTTATGTAAAAATAAAAAGCCTTTAAAGGTACTTTCCCCATAATTTATAATCTTAATCGAATGGGTGTGCAATATTGCATAATTGTACACTTTAAGTGAGAGCTCGAGATGTGTGAATAAAGCATTTTCTACATATAATAAAAAGAGTTAAAATACAGTTCAAAATTTTAGATTTTTGGTTTTACTATGTTAAGTTATATTGTGGTAGGTAAAAAATTGTCACACTTTCTTAGTTTCCTGTGTAAAATTAGAGACGACAGCTCCATTCTACACATAACATGGTCTCCATTAGTTAGTCTACAGATTGTCTACAAAACTTGAAAAATACTTTGACTCTATCTGAGCTACATTACGGTAGGTTCTAAATATCTCGTTGTTTTCGTTGCAAGTAGAGTTAATTGATGGAATACTTAGGTATTCTACAATGAAACACATACATTTTCTTATCGATATATTATTTTCTTAAGCCGTTAACACATAACATACCCGGAAATTCTATGACATGTGGAACACGACGTGTTTATTCTATAGCCCACGAAGGACACTTACTTTTTCTGCTACGTATTGAAGAAATTTCTTCACGCGAGGCTGGAACACGCACTTTGGACATTACTTGAGAAGACACGGCGCAATTCAAAATGTTCTTGCCTTTTAATTCCAGTTGTCCCACGCTAAAGCTTTACACTGAAGTTTCGAATGAAGAAGTTATTTTGAAGATGCAGCTACACGACAAATTCTCCATGGTCACTGGAATACTGTTATTGCAAGTTATGGGTGTGGTTTCCATTTTGGCAAATAACCTTGTTCTTTTTTCTCTTTCAACCAGGAAAATCAAGTTTATAGTGATCATACGTATTTTAAATCATGTCCAGTGGAACATACAGAGTATCCACAGTGAAACGCCCTGATTTTGGAGCGTTTTTAAAAAGAGGCAAAAGATTTTCTACTACAGGAGTTCAAATTCCAGCCTAAATTTTTAGGCTACCTCACGGGCCACCGTTGGGGCGCTGTTGTCATTTCACCCAAAGATGGCGTCAGTTCAGGAGATGCCGCGAGTTGTGTGGTTTTCTGAGTTTAAGTCCATTGTGAGATTGCAGAGGGAGTTCCGTCGTGTTTATCAGAAAGCAGCACCAGAGACCAAGAGGATTAAAGCATGGCACAACAAGTTTCTGGAGACTGGGAGCGTTTTAAAGGACACGGAGGAGGCCGGCAACGTGTCTCCGATGAGAAGGTTCATAAGTCCAAGGAAGCCAATTCGTCGGGCTTCACAAGAACTGCAGATGCCACGAGCAACTGTGTATAAGGTTCTCCGAAAGCGGTTGCGTCTCTATGCGTTCAAGGTGCAGATTCTGCGGATTGGCCTCCACGTTCCCCTGACATCACGTCACTGGATTTTTTTGTGGGGCTACGTGAAGGACAGAATTTACGTCACTAAATGCGAGACCTTCGAGACGGATTGTGAAAGCTGTCGGTACCATCACTCCAGACATGTTGCAACGGACACATTACAGATTAAAAATAATTATATGTATCTACTTCAAGTATTAATCTTATTTTTAACGTGTTCTTAAGAATGAAGTTTCTTTTATAATTATTATATGTCATACCAAGATTCAACCGTAGGAGTTTCAGTGTTCAAACCAAGTAACTCATGAACTGTTTTCCTACAATGACAGGTTTTCCTCAGGTTCTCCTCCATTCAATCAGAAGATGGAGATGATGGCCAACCAATAAAGCCACAAAAATATGAAGAAGAAAAAGAACTTCAGACACTGATGAAGCCAGTACAGCCTGAAACAAGCAAATCAAAATTTAATCTTCACAAACATGACCTCCAGTTTGACTCCCAACCTTTTTTTTTCAGTTTTAATTATTTTATTTATTTTGTAGCAGGGTTTAATTTCATCATGTATACTCAAAACATATTAAAATATTGTAATATTTTCAAGCAAATTATTAATATCACTTTCACCACGTAATCAGGGAAGTCTACCTGTATCTCTTCCTAATAGTTTGTGGGAGATTTTTTGGGTCTTCCTTGAGCACAAACGTGCGGAGTCCCATGAGACCCTGCCTCCAGTACAGATCCCAATTCAGGTTACTGATGTTGAAGTCAAAAATCTCTCGGTCGTCTTCACTGAGCTTTTTCCACATATGAATTATGTTCTGGTTAGAAAACGCCCACTGTCGAATGCGGAAGTATGAAGTGGCATCTAAAAGCTTGTTTATCTTCCTGTAAATCGTAATAAACCTTGAATATAAGCAAACACACATTAGTTGTTCTATAGAATAAACATTCAAAGCTGGGTCTATAATTTCAGTATATTTATTCCAATTCTAGTTACAATTTAGTGTACCTGGGCTTTTGTCCAATGGCAAGCAATGCAGTGTCTCCCACTAGTGCTGGAAGAAGGTGAATCAGCAATGCATACACTTTGTACAAGGAGTGCACATGTACCTCGGTGAAAGTGATCATCCACACTGCATTATCAAATGGTACCTGCCAGCTGTGCTTCATGCTCGTGTTAATAAGGTTGATCCAAGTTGTTGGATTCTCACAAGACGAAACGTAGTTGTATACAGGAATACGTTCAATTCCAGACCTGCCGCAATTAAGCCAAAAAATTATATTGTGTATAAATTATGATTTAGAATGACAACTGCACCATGAAGGTAAATGATTAGTGGGGTTGTATATTTATACATTTTAATCAAGTTCTAGATGGGTTGTGGTGGTAAATGTAATGATCTGGTTGCATTCGTCTTGGGCAATGATTCGTGTACGGTGTTTGTCCGTTTAGGCGTAAATAAATGCCATTTTAGGCAATATGAAAAGAAAAAGTTTACGGTATCTGACCTATGACGATATGGTAAGACGGTAGCACAACTGGCTGGGTATATGTATACAGCATTCTTCAAAACAATCACGAAAAAATTTATATATATTAAGAGGTAGAATGGTGCACAATGACAAATCACCAGATTGTCCATTGAGTTTTGTATTCAGTTCAGGAGAAAAATAAACTCTTGAGCTATTGGTTCGACTCACTTGAAGGGAGGACTGCCTGAATATTGTGTCTCATTCCATGTTTCTGAAAATAGAAACTCAGTGAAGAGTCTAATTATGAACTATTCTATAATTTACCTTCACTGTTCATGAATATGCCAGATTTTGATCTAGTAGTACTACATTGAGGATTTGACATCAATATTAAGCCAAACGTTTCCTCCATAAATGTGACAAAGCTTTGATTTTCCTCCTTCTTTAAAACAATGTTAAAATCTCCTGTCAATATTATCGGCATTGTATTAGGATCTTCAGTGTCCATAACTGAAAACATCTTTGTATAATTTCTCAAATGACTCAAAATAAATCTCTTACAATCATCAATCGGTGTGTGATTACAAATATACAGGATTACAATTAAAACGTTTCACCATTGACCATAAACTCTGCCGACAGATATCACCTCTCTTTTCAGCTGCAGTTATTCTGTAATCTTCTCCATCCTCCTTAGGTAACTTCATCAACAGATGTGGGGTAGCCATGGTAGTTGTTCCATGTTTCTCGTAGATAGCCACTCCGCCTGCTCTCTGTTCGTCACGCATAAATTGCTTATGAAAATATTCTGTTGCGTTGTCATACCTTGGTTGTGCGATTCACGTAGGAACGATTGTACTTGCTAATGATGTGGAAGCATTAACTTGCACTAATTGCTTATTGCGATTTCTATATTCGTTACACTTTTTTGTTTCCCTTTTTTGCCGAATAATCCTTCCTTATAGACGTATTTACGTCAAAAAAAAATAAAGGTTTCGGAAGTGAATGGTTAACAAGCTTTACTCCAGTTTATTCTGTTGTTAATATCCTCTAAAATTAAATTTTGTTTTCTTACTGTCGCTGCCAAATATCCGGCCCGAACTACATTTTTTAAAGAATTTACTAGCTATCCTCCATTCTGGTGACCAAACATCAACATATACTTTGTATTCTCTGTATTTTCTTCTATTCCACCTTTCTATTATATAAGAGTATTAATCTTTTAATACAAAACTATTTCAACCATCCGTTCACCAGTTAGTATCTCCATCTAGTGGCAGTGACTATTCATCGTGTGAAAGGCCAACGAAGCTGTTATGTACCAGTTCAAATCTCATATTTCACGAACTTAATGGAATATTTGTGCACTCAAACACATTTATACACTTTAACTGAGTAGTACAGAGAATAAATGAGAGCTCGTAATGTGCAGAATAAATTATTTTCTACACCTAATGCAAAGAGTGAAAATATATTTCAAAGACTAGGATTCTTCGGTTGCATTATTATTAAGATATATTGTGTTAAGTTACGAACTGTCACACTTTCCGACTTTCCTGTGTAAAATATAGAAACCACAGCTCCACTCTGCACACTCCATGCTCCCAGTTAGTTATTCTACAGATTATCTACAAAATGTGGAAAATATGTTGACTCTATCTGAGCTAGATTATGGTAGGTTCTAAATAACTGTTTTTTTATATGTAAATACGTCTGTAAGGAAGGGTCATTCGGCAAAAAAGTGTTACGAAAAAGGGAAACGAAAAAGTGTAACTGCATTGTTATGTCATCTGTTTACTTGGCATTGTCTTACATTACTTTCGTTATTGCGGAAAGAGCTGAGCTGTGAAACGCTTGTAGAAGAAGTGCGTCGTAGACTAGATAATTTTGTGCTGGTAAAAACGTTTACCAATATCACAGGTACTTATCTTATATAAGAACTATTAAGTAATCTGTTGTTGCGTTAGTTTGTTGCGTCATAATATGTACAAGCTGGATGACATTGAAGCTAAAAGACTCCATAAAGCAGAATATATGAGACAGTTCAGAAAACGTTAAAAAATAGAAGTATTAAATAATGAACTCCAGAGTGAATGGTCAATGGTGAAAATGTTTTAATTGTAACCCTGTATATTTGTAACCACACACCTATTGATGATTGTAAGAGATTTATTTTGAGTCATTTGAGAAATTATACAAAGATGTTTTCAGTTATGG